GGGAAAGAGAGAAAAGAAGATAAAGGAAAAGAGAAGAGAAAGAAAAGAGAGAGAAGAGAAGAGACGAGACGAGACGAGACGAGACGAGACGAGAAGAGAAGAGAAAAGAAGTTATGAAACTAGAACCCGTGACTTTCTAGAGAAACGGGTATACCTTACTAAGATTATGGAGGTTTACAGTGGCCACAGTAGGGAAGTTTTTTTGTTTTGTTTTTAAGAGAGAGATTTTTTGCTATAGGGCACGTGTGCTCACTCGAGAGACAAAGACAATAAGACTGAAAGTGAGAAAAAAAAAACCCCTGGGGGGATGGCCATGCTGCAATCCTTTCTCCTCCAGTCTCCTTTCGGGGTCTTGGGCACTCACACACATGAGCTTGGCGTGAGTTTAAGCCTCTGGGTCCAGGACTTGAACCATGGTGGACTATGGGGGAGTCCAGCAATGTAACTGTTACACCATCTGCTGGTCCCAGTAGGGAAGTTTTAATCTAGATAAAATTATTCACTGCTATGGTCTATTGGGGGGAGATGGGGGTGGGGGGACCTAAATGCATCAGAAACAAGGAGATACATTTTTTTGTACAGGTTTCATTATAGGACACATGAGCTCACTGGACAGAGACACAGAGAGACAGTGAGAGGGAAAATGAGAAACCACCCCCAGGGGGAATGGCCACAATGCAACCCCTTCTCTTCCATCCTCCCAGGATTTGGTATATGCATGCACACGTGCCCAGTGTGACTTTAAAGGTGTCACATCCAGGACTTGAACTGCAGTTGACCATGTGGGAGTCCAGTGCCTTAACTATCATGCCGCCTGCTGGCCACAAGAGAGAAATTTTTGATTGGTATACTTCTAGAGGCTTCTGTAAGTCTTTCTAAGTCAGAATGACTAAAATAATAGTGTCTCTGAAGGAATCTTTATAGCATTTTATTAAAAAATTGTTCTGGATCTATTAATTCTTTGATCTCTTGCCTTTTCCATTTGAGCCTCCCAACTTTCTTTAAAAATGAGATCCTCGAATGATCCAGGAGTACTTGCAACATCTAAATTCAAATCTTGGTTTTACCCCAAACTCTGAGCTATTATAGAAATGACTGTTTAAAGCTAAAAAGGATAAAGAATAATTGAAAATAGAATAGGCATTTCTTAGCCACTCACCTAAAATTTAGTTCACAGTCCCAATGAGAATGACTTATTTTTTTTTTAGAGGTTTTTGCCATATGACTCATTTGTTTGCCCAAGAGAGACAGAGACAGTGAGAGGGAAAGTGAGAAATCATCCACCCCCCACCCTGGGGAGCTGGCTATGCCACAATCCATTGTCTATTCTACTCCAGGGCTCTTGGGCAAGCACATGCACCTTGCATGATTTTCAAGCCACTAGGTCCAGGACTCAAACCACCATCGGCCATGTGGGAGTCCACTGATGTAAGGACTACGCCATCTGCTGGCCCTGAGATTGACTTTTGATGACATATAAACATCCTTGGGGCCAACCTGAGGCACGGTGGTTAAGGCAGCTAGATCCCATAGGGCTGACTGCACAGTTCAAGTTCCAGACCCAGTGGCTTGAAAAACACACTGTGTGCTTCTGTGTCCAACATCCCATAAGGAGGGAGAAATGGAGGAGAGGGGATTATGGCTTGACCCTCCTTATCCACGAGGAGTGCTCTCTCACGTTCTCTCTCTGTCTCTCTCCAGCAAGTGCACACACCCTCTGGCAAAATTATACATATTTTTTAAATCCCTAAAATTTCTTGTTGGAGAAAACTTTTCTC